CTTTCGTGGGTAAGAAACTAAGTGAGGGTCTTACGCACGAAAGCTTATGCTCCCAATACTTCTGTTAGTCTCAAAGGTGCCACAGGACCCTCTGTTGCTATGTTCAGTGTGATATTCCTGTAACCCTTCTTCCCATCTAAGTTGGCAGCAACAAGGGCCGGGTTCTGTATCTAGGGGTTCCGTTTCAATAACGCAATGCAAAACTGGCTCGAGCCCCCACCCAGTGACCTGGGACAATTACATACCACCCCCTGGGCACCTCTAAGAGGCAATACTTCCCCTCTCACAAGCACAGAGTCTGAGTGTGGCAGAAAATGTTTAATAACATGAGGTAAACGACATCAGCATGAAATTGGAAAAAAACACCACAAACAGGATTCATAACACAAACCATGAGCAAAAGACCCACCCCAGCAAATTGGGCCATGTCCTTTCCCTTTGGTTCTTGAATCCAGCAACCCAAAAATCACCCAGAGTCCCCAAAGTCCAACATCCCCAAAGTCTCTGTCCCTGATCAGTGCAGCCCCAGAGTAAAAGGGGGTCACACAGGGTGTTACGGGCACCTTACGTGATCCGAGGCCGACGGGCCGCCTCTCCGTGGGGTTCTGCCGCAGCCTTCACCACAAGCCAGTCCACTTCCTGCCGTCCCACGAACTGCTCTGCTCTACGAGCTGCTCCGCTCCACTCACCAACCTGTGAGCCGTTCCAGCCGTCCCCACAAACGGCTCTGCTCGCCATTCCTTAGGCCGCTCCAGCCGTCCCTGCAAACGGTTCCGCGTCACTCACTGCTCCACCAGCCACTTAGCAATATAGCTTCAGGCTCCCCAATTAGTTAACACAGCACTCAGTGATCTCAGCTCTTAGTAACTTTAGCTCTTTTAGTGATTTCAGCTTGTAGTAGGGGAGCCCCAGTGCTGGTACACCATTGGCCCAAAGTGAATTCAGCTCAGCAGCCTGTAACTAGACTCCTAATGGAATCAAAGTTAGCTCTGATATTCAACAGTAGAGAGAGGCAGTGGTACAATTGGTGTTTCAGACTCTCAAAGGGGGCCTATACCATCAGGTACAAATACCTATCCCCATCTTCTCTCCATTCACTGGGTTTTGGAACCCACGTCCCTTGTCTAGCGAGTGCTACTTAGGTGATGGTGAGACCCTCTGTCATAAAACAGTTTCATTATCCTTGATTCACATAATCAGGGTAACAACACTTTATTCCTCCTGTCCCGATAACAGAGAAACTGGGGATCCCACCCCATCCAAAGTAACCACTTTCAGTTGCTGTTGTCTCATGCCAGGCGAGTGGGTGTGCCTATGCAAACAAGATCAGCCCCTGAAGTTCTTTTCCACACTCGCCATAATTCACCACCAGATGTCAGGGTAGAGCTCATCCTGACTCTGCTTACATTCCAAAATCCACCAACAAAAAGAAACAAGATATAGGGATCTGAGCACAGTAATGGGAGCTAGGAACTCCTGAAATCTACTTCTGATTTCAATTTTGGAGCTAAAATGTTCATGCCAGGGGAACTAAAGAATCCCTATTTTCAGGCACTTAGATAAAAGCAGCTTGGTTTTCAGAACTACTGAGCAGCTGCAGCTCCCAATGAAGTTATAGGAGCACTGTGTAGGGAAACATCACAGGATTGAACCACCGGTTATATAAAGAGACGGTGAGACTGATTCGTTTGGAAAAGCCTGCCTTTGCAGTGGCTGAAATGAAAACTCACAAGTGGTAGCATCCATGAAGAACATTATTGACTTTTTATTATTCTTGCAAGAGTGGAGACAAACTGGGGTGAAAAATGCCTGTGAATGAAGGTGGGGCTGGTGATGTGCAGTGAAGCTAATCTGTGTTGGCAGGAAACCGTGGATGGTGTCATCTCTGTTGAAATTTACAGCTCTGCACAGGTAGTGGAATGAGGCTATACTGTGTCCAGATCAGCCAAAATTGTGGAGCAGCTGCCCAAAACTGTCGCAGACAGACAACAGTATACGCCATGCATGCTGCCAAGTTGGGAGGGCCGTGACCGCCAACCTTTGCCTGCCCTATCTTTTGTGACCTGAGGGGTTGAGAGTGAACATCATAGACCCAGGGTGCATCTCTCTCCCTAGGTCCCTCTCTTCCCTGGATTAAGCAGGGCCAACAACAATCAAGTGTGTGTCATGCTATCCAAAGCTCACAGCTGCCATGGTGGGGTTTGAATCTCAGGTGTCATGCCTTAATTCATCCTGGTCAATGAATATATGTAACAAGTGAGCTGTTGGTAGAATAGGTGTCCTATCCCACATCTATTCCTGCCTGGTCTGACCCCAGTGTACAGCTCCGTTCATCCAGTAACTTCCACCTGAAACAAACTTTGTCCCAGCTGCTGTAATGTGTAAGATTTAAACACACTATCTAGGTTCTGAATGGGGGACTCCACTAACTGGGGAAGTGCACTATCAGTGTCCACCCACCAGCTCGCAGACAACACCCACAGGTGAGGGAAGGTTTGTAGCACCACTGTGACACTGGTGGTGCTTTAAAGATAGGCTGGACAGAAGTGGTCAATCACTGTGCCTGCTCAAGTCTTGGCACTGAACGGCCCCACCTCTGCAGAGATTGGCTGCCTGTGGTGGGGGGTGTGGGCAATTGCAAGGCTCACCCAGGTGGATGTATTTAGGACCCCAGGAAGTGTGTGGGAGAAGGGAGATGATGTCAGAGCCTGCAGTTCCCACTGCTCCTTTGCAGCACCCTCTCCTGATTGATCATTGCCATCTCTTTCTTTAAATCCACCCCTCTCTTCTTTTTGGATCTCCCACTGCCCACCGCAGAAAGACCCAAATGAGGCGCTGGTCATCGCCGTGACAACCAGGGCCATCTTCAACCTGGAGGAGGAACATCAGCTGTTCCTGACAAAGGGCAAAGAAGAGTATGTGAAGTATCAGCAACTCAATGAGGATAAGCCCTTGGAGCAAGGTACAGCCTTCGCTTTCATTCAGGTGAGACGCCAGCAGTAGCCCCCACTCTCATCAAGATGTGTGTGAAACTTGGTCCATGGTAAAGTTCAGCCTTCAGTTCCTTCAAGCCTTGTGCTCTTTGGCTGGGGCATCTCTCCCTGACGAAGGCAAAGAGTGGTACCTGACTCATGGTGAGGTATGGCCTCTGCTTTCATCCAGGTGAGATGCTTCGGCCCAGATTCTCAAAAGTATTTAGGTGCCCACCTCCCATTAAAATCAGTGAGAATTTTAGACACCTAAATACCTTTGAAGTTCTGGGCATTTGCCCATAGCCAGGTGAGATCTCGGCTCTTGTGAGGTCAAGATGCTTCCAGCCTTAGCTCTTATCAGTATAAGATACTTTGCTGAGGTGCCTTCCTCAGACATGTATAGGAGTGTGACTCTTGGCCCTCATTTGGAACAATGAAATATACACATGAGTTGTGTGTTGTTCTGTTTTGTGGAGGGATACATTGCGGACACATAAACCATCAGGCATCATTCCAAAACTGACGGTGGCCAACTTGGATAGCACCACATCACTATGGTATTTTTAAAAATTATTTAGTGTTTAAAGCATAAATACCAGCCTTACTGCCATACCCAGGATGGCAGACAAACTGTAAGAAATCAAGGAAAACTATGGACTCCAAATGACACTAGTTTCCTCACCAAAACCATCCTAGAAACCTTACCTTAGAAAGAGGGAAGGTTAGAGACAGAGCAACATCAGCACCATGAAGTGACTTCTTGAGCAAGGACATAACAGCAGCAATTTGGAAGGAAGATGACACCAGCAGAGGTTGGTGACATCTGAAAGTGGGTAGGCAAGTTGAATTATATATATTTAGTGTATATATAATAGATGACGTATAATAGACAAAATAGGCTAAATTCAGGCCAAACATATGTTGACAGAAAAGGATGTGACCCAGAATAAGGGATCTGGGGAGCTGTCATTCCCATGGCTGAGGGGAGCTGTAGGCCACGCTGCAATACATGCTGGGAAAGGGGCAAGGATAGCAGGAGTCCCTTTTCATCAGTGTGAGAGATACTGGAGAGAGGATAAGACTTGCTATTCGTCTCCCCACTAGGAGAAAGAGAGAGACACTAGGAAAAGGGCAAGAGCTCCAGGTCTCTCTGGTCAAAGGGCCTGGGAAGAGGCCCAAGAGACGACAGCCAGAGGGTGGGGTGAATCACTCCAACGAGGGGGTGCCTGTTGCAGAGCGAAGGAAGTGGCATGAAAGGGGAAGTGAAGTGGGGCCAGAGTTGGTGCTTCTCTGTCGAGGGCCTGAAGGTTGGAGCTTGCAGAAGAGAGAGGGCACGAACTCCGCTGAGTCAGAGGGAGAAGCAGAGCAGGGGGCATTGCTGTCGTACCCAAGGAAGGAGAGGAGAGTAACAGACCCTTAAGGGAGGGCTGTGATCCAAGGAATGAGACTGGGAGTAACGTTGGACTCTCATTACCCCAGAAGGGGTGGAGTACTTCGGTTTAACCAGAGGCTTAAAGTACCAAAACCAAATTACTGAGAGAATAACTATGGCAACCAATAGGCCACTGTTAAATTTGGCTTCTTCTGGCTTAAGCCCAGGGTCAGGGCTGTTGGCGGTGGAAAGGCAGCAATCTCCCCTCTGCATCCAGGGGCCCTGCATGGAGGGGACATGGCTAGAACAATCAGGGGACACACTAATGTTAGCCTATCCACTGCAGGACTCCTGTAATACCCTAGGGCAAGTTAAAGCCGTCCCCTCCCACAACAGAATTCCTGAGGGAAAGTACATGGCAATGCATTTGTCTGCCCTTCTTTGAGTGGTTCCCCGTTGGGTGCAGAGGGCCACTGTCTTCTACATTTCTCTACACCAGCAAGAGCGATTCTGTCTCCTGGATGGGGGGAGGAATGCTGGAAATTGTGTGGCAGCAGATTGTGGGTACGTTTGTGAGTATACAACTTTGTAAAACAGTGTCGTGTCTCTGGCTGTTTCATCCAGGCCGTGCAGTTTGTGAATGAGAAACTCCTGGAGAGAAACCCAGAGGAGAAGGGCCTCTTTGATGTCATCATCCTCTCCAACAACAGTCCAGAGAGTGGCATGCGCATCGTCAACAGTGCTAAGCAACATGGTAAGGAGATCCCACCTCTCATTTGAAGTCAGCCCACATTCAGTGAATGGGGGGAAAACTGTCATCCGGTCCTCCAGAGACTGCTGTGAAATAGATGAGGAGGTGGATCCAGGGGGGATACACACCAGTCTGGGGACAGGTGGTATGGAAGGGGAAGGACCCAGCCTATGTGTGGGATGGTAGCACATAAAGTGGATGAAGTGAAGGGGATGTTGCGGGAAATGGCTGGCAACCTGAGAAGGATGTTGCATGAATGTAAGAGATAAAGAGTGAAGATTTAACATTGTGAGGGACATTGTGTTGAGGTGGGGAGGAAAGATAATGGTGGCTGTGCTGAGGGTCACTGCATAAGTGTAAGGCAGCAGGATGGGGGTATTGCACTGATATCTGGAGCACCTGTTGTCCTGGCAGTGTCATGACATCAGTTGAACAAAGGGACATTGCATTAGGGTGTGTTGGCCATGGCAGGAGATGTAGGGAGCGCTATGTCAGTGTGTAGGCTGGAGCACAAGGCAGGCTGGAAACAGAAATTAAAGATAGCTTTTCAGCTCTGCCATAGGTTTGCTGGGTGATCTTGGGCAAGTCATTTCCCTGCTCAGTGCCTGGGCTTTCCCATCAAGTGGGGATAATGATATTGACCTCATCTGTAAAACACATTGAGATCCATGTATGAAAAGTGCTGTGTAAGAGCTAGGTATTAATTTGATTTCATTTACTTTTTCTGACGTTAAGGTTTGGAGATTTCCAAGTTTTGCTTTGTCAGCGATGAAGATTCCACCCAGTACTTGAAATCCCATAATGTCAAGCTCTTCCTCTCAGCCGACAGGATGGACGTGTGCAATGCACTCCAGCGAGGTGTGCTTTCTCCCTCTCCTACCTCACCCAGCCTGGGATTTCATTCTTACACCTGGGCCGTACACCACCTCCCCACATTAGCCCCAAGATGAAGTTATGTCAAGACTTGCTTTTTCAGAAGGGTTTATTACTCGATTCAGAGAAGTGGTTCTGTGCCGATCTTGACACATTACGTCTCAGCCTGGAAACAATTCAGAACCTAACAGTTTAGCTGTGTCTAGAAGTCACACATAACTCTTTGATGATGCATGTCAAATGAACTAGCAGGTCTCCAGTGCAACTGGGCAAGTAATTCATAATTCATCTGTTGCTGAAGAGTTTAGTCTCTTTCTGTTTACCAGATACCCACAAACAGACCATGGGTTTTCTCAGATGTATTCGTTATTCTAAATTATACATCAAATAGTTTGTGTGAATAATTGTTGCCTATGAATTCGGCCACAAGTTGGTCATTACGAGCATCCAGTATTGTAAATTCAAGCTGTTCCTGCTTCCGGATTGAATGAGTCGCTGTTAGAATCAGGTTTGCAGAGCACTATAATTATAAATTGGAAATTTGCTTTCTGTGATTCACTTAAAATTAAGCATATGCTGAAGTGCTTTCCTGAATGGGGATGAACATAAGCATGCGCTTAACCTCAATCAGGGTGTAGGAATCTTTCCAAGGACTTTCAGGGCCAGAGTCTCTCTTTCATGAACATTGCTGGTTTGACTGGGACCTCGCCCAGCTGTCGAGGTTCCTTCATTCAGGCAAACAACACAATCCACAAGCAACTTATGTCTGAACGAGAAATCTTTTCTTTGCAGTGAAGTAAAACACTAAAGCTGCCTGATTGAGTAAGATTCCTGGTTTAAAACCCATTTCCTGGCTATAATCCCAGTATGTGAGAGTGGGCAGAGAACCCCTTTTCTCCATTGCAGGAAGAGGGCCAGCATTAGGCCAGGTGCATAGAAGAATATAGTGGAGGTGCCAGCCAGTTTCACCAGCTGCACCAAGTGAGCATGTCTGGGTTTGGCAGGGTAGAATAAGCACAGGCAGGAGAGTGCTGGGTGTACATGGTGCATAGGTGCAGCAAATCACGCTTCCCACAGCACCTACGGAGGTGTCTCCAAACAGTGACATCTGAGCATTGCTTCTCCTTCCCACCCCCACAATGGCTCTGCCGGATGAGCCCTATTTGGAGATCTATCATCTCTTTTCACTTGGGGAACCCGAAGCTGCGAGGGCCTGATCCAAAGCCCATTGAAGTCAGTGACAGTCTTTCCATGGATGTCAGTGGGCATTGGATGAGGTTGTAACAATTTCCCAGAGGAAGCTATGCCTATACTGACTGCTCCCCAACCTGTCCTCCATTGCATGCAAGCACAAAGTTTTTCTGTGACTCCACTGGCTGCCGCATGGGGGTGCCCTGCTGAGCAGCATCTCCAGGCAGCCAGGACTCGTACTCTGGGCCCTCACCGGAGCGTGGACACAGTCTCTCTGGTTCCCATTCTCAGCCGGGCAGTGACACTTCTTTCTGTCCCAAAGGAGTGTCAGCGGCTCTCATCTTCCAGCAGGAGGTGCAGACCCCCAGCACCCAACTGCGAGTGGTGTTTGATGGGGATGCCGTGCTCTTCTCAGATGAGACAGACCGGGTTTTTCGAGAGAAGGGGCTGTCAGGGGCTCTGGAGTATGAGAGGGCAATGGAAGCCGTGCCCATGGGAGAGGTATGTTAGCTTGCCCTGCCTTAATGGGCTTCCCAGTCCCTACCCTTGCTTCTAACCTGCTCAGTCTGGTTGTGTTACACTCACCCACAGTGACCAGTGAGTGGGCCCTCCTGCTAGGGTTTTACCAATAGCCCCTTGCAGCAGAATACGCACAAACATTCATGGGTGGCCTCTGGCCTATACATTGACTGCTTTGGCCTGATCCAACACCCCATAGAAGGCATTGGAGAGTCCCCCCATTTCCGACCTACTTGGGGTTTGCACCAAGTCTTCAAAAGTGAAGGGTTAGAGCACTAACCCACTGTGCTACTACACAGTTCACACTATGGCACAGTTCACAGACCACTGGTGCTCTGCCGACCACTTGCCGGAGGAGAGCTGACTGGTGGCACAGTGTTGGCTCCCTCTTGTTTCTAGCTGCTAAGCTGCATTAAAAGATGGGTACCTGCTATTCAGGTTTATGATGGGTTTATGCTATTCAAAGCATAAACTGCTTTCCTAAAGTCACGTTTCCATGTAAGCAATTGCTGTCATTGCAACAGGGATGTTTTATGATCGATGGGTGGGGAAGTGTCCACGAGACCATCCCTCTAGTTAATTGTGATCCAGGCCCTGGAAAGTCCGAGATCTGCAGCTGTAAGGAATCTACATTCCTAGCCTCTGTGAAAAATTGCTCCATATTCCTTGAGCTCTCTTTTCTGGCTATTTTTGTGCAAAGGTGAAATTAACCCTTCCTCGTGTTCTCCCAGCCTCTAATCTCTGTGTGGTTTCCAGGGTCCACTGAAGGCATTTGCTATGCATCTTGGGAAGATGCGCAAGAAGTTCAGCCAGGAGAATTCCCCTATTCGCACCTACTTGGTGACTGCCCGCAGCGGCCGGGATATGGGCATCCGTGCTATCAAGACCCTCCGCGAATGGGGGCTGGCGATTGACGAGGCCTTCTTCATGGACGGGGCTCCCAAGGGCCCTCTCCTCTCCCAGATCCAACCCCACATCTTCTTTGACGATGGCCTTCATAACATCCAGGGGGCTCAAGATATTGGCATACCCTCTGCCTTGGTCCCCTGTAACTGCTGATGGGCAGGGATGAAGGGGCAAAGGTCCTCCAAAGATCAAGCCTCCCAAATGCAATTGGAGAACACAAGGACAAAGCTTCTGCCAGAAGGGATAAGGGAGGATTTCTAAACCTATGCTAAGCAAGCTCAGGGGAGAGGGAGAGAAGATGCTGTGTGCTGATGTGGTGCTGGATCTATTACTCTTGGGTCCCTCTCTTAGTTCCAAAGACAGGGTCCATCTGATCCTGGGGATGTGGCAACAGAAGGCCAAAAATCCACAGGAAGGAAGGATGCTTGAAATGTAACTATTACGCCCATCTCTTGATCTGCCTTAGCCGTCTCTTCAATGACTGCAGCCCTGCCAGCCACTAGGGATAATGTGCTCCACCACTCATGTCATACAAGCACTGAAACCACAGCTCTAGTGACGAGACCATGTGAGCTGAAGACAGCATGTAACTGTCGTAAGAGGCAGGCAATGTAAGCTCGGCCTGCACTCAGACGTGGGGGTTGGTCTTTGGAGTGTTGGGCCAGTACTGCTATTCAAATACCAATATGCCCTCTAAACGCTGCATTTGTTGGGGGTTGTGCTTTTTCAAAGGAAACTATTTTTTTTTAGTGTGTATGTTTTATATATATATGGGGCCAAATCCTGAGGGGTGCTGAGCAGCTAGTGAGCACTTGCAGCTTCCACTGACTTCAGCAGGCATTTCAGATGCTCAGCATCTCCCAGGATTTGAGTGCCAGGGACCAGGGACTCTGTCTTCTCATAGATTCTAGTTTGTAGGTATGCCTTACATTGGGCCTGATTCTGATTTCCCATTGGTGTAAATCAGGAGTAACTCCACAGAAATCAGTTGAATTATATCAGGGTAAGTGAAATCAGAATCCGGTCCTTAATATCTAGTAGTTAATTTAATGTCAACCACTCTCTCTTTCACGTCTCTTTTCTGCTCAGTTCTCTCTTTTCCTGCCAGCCACGCAGCCTCTCTGCTGCTCTCTCCTCTAAATGGCACAGAAAGATCAAGTCACTGTCAGTTTATAATGCACAACACTGCAAAGCTGCTTTTCTTGCAGTATCTCGAGTATGTTTGTGCTGAGAATAGGGTAAGAATGGCAAGCCCTACGGTATATCTGGTCATTCACACTTAGGATCCAAGACAAATCATGTCCAACATTATTTTCCAGTAATAATTTTTTTAAGAACTAAGTCTGTGTTGGTTATAGCTGTGCACAAATATGATGCAAAGCCCTCATATAGACATAATATACACAGGATACTAGAGTTATTTCCTGTGTGTGTGTGTGTGTGTGCGTGTGTGTATTTACATATATAGAGATATAAATTATGGGCCAGTTTCTCAGTTGGTGTAAATCTGTGGTAGCTCCTTTGACTTGAGGAGCTATGCCAACTTAGCTGATAATCTGGCCCTACATGTATGGTGCTGCAGTAATGATCTAGCACTCCAGTTCCTGTGTGCTCTTGCCAGCAGCAGTGCTTTGATTTTAGTGCTTGGATCTCAGCAAACTATTCCAAAAGGGGCAGGAAGATTCAAAAATAACAGCAAAGTATTGGGGTAGTAGGAGAGGGCTTAGCCGAGTGCCTTATTCTAAGCACGCTGCATTACACATTCCTTGTTTCTTCTGGAGTAAGTGGCCATTAGCTTTTGTTCTTGCTGGCTGTAACAGGTGCAGCTGGTTACACTGGGGCATTGTTCTTGTGGTGCTGGTGTATCTGAGGCCTGTCGTGAGTGGTTTTGGATATTTTGGGGTTTTTTACTGGGCAGTAAGCAGTAGGATGGAGCCTAATTTATATTTGCTAACCTGCAGTTTCTTTCCCAGGGCTGAATTTCAGCCTTTTGTCTATGCACACATTCACCACCAGAGGCCACCATGCTGCTCCTTACTGAAACAGGTTTCAGTTAGTCTGTATCAGCAAAAACAATGAGGAGTCCTTGTGGCACCTTAGTGACTAACAAATTTATTTGGGCATAAGACTGACCGCACACTTGGTAAGGCAACTCCCATCCTTTCATGTATCTTTACCTGCTCCTGTATTTACCACTCCATTCATCTGATTAAGTGGGTTCTAGTCCACGAAAGCTTATGCCCAAATAAATTGTTAGTCTCTAAGGTGCCACAATGTTGTTTTTACTGAAACAGGCATGTTGGCCAATTGATCCCATCCCTGCTGTGGCATGCGTCCAGGTCACAAAATCTGGGCAAACAGAACTTAGCTTTTTGCTTCAAGGGGGCTCTTACAAGCAGTGGGTGAAAAACAATGTTTAATTGACAAAATATGCCTTGAAAAGGCCCTTTAAAAAACATTAGTGGAATCTTCCTGTGAACCAGCCAACCATCTCACTGCTCTGCATTGCACATAAAAGACCTAAATTCCACTCCTGGAATGGAATGCTGGTCCCTTTAAAGGGGGCAAGGAAGGGTTCTAGTCCCCTCCCCCCTGAGTTTCATAGGGGAGGTCTACTTACCCTAGCCCCAGGTGGCGCTCTTAACTGCAACAACTTGCATGTGATATGTGATGAGTTTGGAAGCTGGGAGTAGCACAGCCTTTCGGCTGGGAGTTTGTTTATAAACAGAGGCAGGGTGATTAAGATAGCAAAAGGCTTATCATTAAAGTAAATTAAGGATTCTTAGATGAACCTGAAAATACTGCCAGGCACTTCAGTTAAAAGATAGGAAACAAAGGGTAGGAATAAAAGGTGAGAATGGAGAGAGGTACATATTCAACATATTCATAAGTGATCTGGAAAACAGGATATGCAGTCAGGTGGTAAAATTTGCAGATGATACAAAATTACTCAAGATAGTTAAGTCCAAAGCAGACTGCGAAGACTACAAAGGGAACTCACAAAACTGGGTGACTAGGCAACACAATTGCAGAAGAAATTCAATGTGGATAAATGCAAAATAATGCACTTGGCAAAATATAATCCCAACAATACATACAAAATGATGGGGTCTAAATTAGCTGCACCAGTCAATAAAGAGCTCTTGGAGTCATTGTGGATAGTTCTCTGAAAACATCTGCTCAATGTGCAGTGGCAATTAAAAAACCTAACAGAATATTGGGAATCATTAGGAGAGGGATAGATAATAAGAGAAAAATATCATATTGCCTCTATATAAATCCACAGTACACCGACATATTGAATAGTTCGTGCAGATTTGGTCACCCCATCTCAGAAAAGATATATTGGATTTGGAAAAGGTACGGAGAAGGGCAACAGAAATAATTAAGGGTATGAACACCTTCTGTATGAGGAGAAACTAAAAAGACTGGGATTTTTCAGCTTGGAAAAGAGATGACTAAGGGGGCATATGATAGAGGTCTATAAAATCATGAATGGTGTGGAAAAATTGAATAAGGAAATGTTATTTATTCCTTCACATAACACAAGAACTAGAGGTCATCCAATGAAATGAATAGGCAGCAGATTTAAAACAAAAAAAAGAGTATTTCTTCACAGTCAACCTGTGGAACTCTCTTCCAGGGGTTGTTGTGAAGATCAAAACTATAACAGGGGTCCAATAAGAACTAGATAAGTACATGGAGGATAGGTCCAGCAATGGCCATTAGCCAGCAGGGATCCAACACCCTGTTCAATAGGCGCTGACTCCATGGGTGCTCCGGGGCTGGAGCCAGTAGGGGCTCAGAGGCAGGACTGCTATATGCAGGAGTGAGTGTTGTTCGAAAGCAACTTTCCGGCCCCAGTGGTTAATGGAAGGAGTGACATGGACTCTCCTAATCACTCCCCTGGCTAGAAAGATGCTGGCTGCACTGTGAGAAACTGAAGATGAGAAGGTTAAAGTAGGGGAATGCATGTGAGGTGCTGGTGAGGAAGAATTCTCAAGCTCTAGTGGAAATACTGCAGACCACTGCATACTGAGGAAGGGGGAGGTGATGCTATCTCTTTCGTAGATAGATTGCTAATAGCAATAGTCTTCTTCAGCTTGCCACTCCTGTAGTAGACCCATAACCTCTGGCTGACTTACTGAAGTCCTCAAATCTTGATTTAAAGACTTCAGGTTACAGAGAATCCACCATTTATTCTAATTCAAACCAGCAAGTGACCCATGCCCCATGCTGCAAAGGAAAGCAAAAAATCCCAGGTTCCCTGCCAATCTGACCTGGGGTAAAATTTCTTCCTGACCCCAAATACAGCAGTCAGTTAGACCTCAGCATGTGGGCAAGACCAGCTAGACACCTGAGAGAGAATTTTCTGTAGTAACTCAGAGATCTCCCATCTAGTATCCCATCTCCAGCCGTTGGAGATATTTGCTAATTGCAATCACAGGTGGGCCATATGCCATTGCAGACAATCTCATCATACCATCCCTCAAATTTATCAAGCTGAGCTTTAAAACAAATTAGGTTTTGTTTCCCCCCCGACTCCCCTTGGAAGGCTGTTGCAGAAGTTCACTCCTCTGATGGTTAGAAACCTTTGTCTAATGTCAAGCCTGAACTTATTGATGGCCAGTTTATATCCATTTGTTCTTGAGCTGACAGTGGCCCTTTAATAACTCTTCTCCCTCACTGGTGTTTATCCCTTTGATTTATTTACAGAGAGCAATCATATCTTCCTTCAGCCTTTGGCTTGTTTAGCCGGAAAAAAACCAAGCCCCTTAAGTCTCCTCTCCTAGGGCAGGCTCTCCGTTCCTGTGATCATCACAGTAGCCCTTCTCTGCACCTTCTCTGTTTGATTGTGCTGTGTGCTGATGAGTGATAAACTGAAGGCAATCGTGCAGAAAGGGTCTGACATCCATTCTTCACCAGTAATAGACTATTGCATGACACAGAAGAGCTGGTTGAAAAATCTCTTTTATTTTAGCAAAAATGTCCAATACAAAGACCTTGTCTTTAAATGGCTCGTAGGAAAATGTCGAGTTTTTGACCAAAAAAAAAATTTGACAATTTAGTGGAAATTGAACCATTTTCAGGACACATTTCACCAGCACTGTCCTTTTTGGTTGGAAAAAAAAATTCAACTGAAAAATTACAGCCAAGTCTAGTCACTAATAACAGTGACTACTGTCCAATGATAACAAATTCAGTCTGCCTCTGTTTTAGCTATGAATCGCTTGAGTATCTCCTGAGTGAAATCTAAGGTTTTATTGCACCAGTCCCTAAAAGGAGGTGAATCATAGATTTCACAAATGGAAAAGGCCTGTTAGGTCATGCCTGTCAGTGCAGAATTGTTCCCTACAGCACAGAGTCTCGTGTTTCATCCAGTCTATTTTAAAATGTGCCAAGGGATCGGGTTTCCATCATTGTTCCATAGGTTAATACAGTGGTTCTTAACCTAGGGTGCACGCACCCCTGGGGGTGCGAGATGCCCTTTCTGGGGGTGCGAGACATGCCAGATTAGCCGCTAATAGATTCTCTGATATTCAACCTAAATTTTCATTTTTGTAATGTCATCCCATATTCACTCAGTATCAAAGGACCACACGGTGTCTTTCCATCTGGTGCATATTTATGTCCATCCAATAGGAAAACATTGCATGCGATCATCCATTGCAGCCATCAGAAATGAATGTTGTTTGCTGTTTATATTTAAATTTTGGTCTTACTTTTGATGATGACAGATGCCGAGAAAAATTCATGGATAAGAATTATGGTAACACTGCTGTGGGGCATAGATGCATTTGGAACTGGTCAGAGTTTGATAACGAAATGTTAATAGTCCCAGACTGGTAATGACTTGTCTGCTTAGGGAATGAGGAGGGTGTCATGCATTAGAGGCAAAACACTGCACACCAGCATGAGAAAAACATGGACACATGAGATCAGCAGATTATAGCCACAAACTCTATAGCCCCAGTGGATGAACAAGAGAAGGATCATGGGGAGAGGAGGAAAAAAGGTGAATCATTTCTATTTCAATGCGATCAGAAAACGACTTTTTAAAAATGATTTACAAATTCCATTCCTGCCAATGCTATTTTCTTGGATAAATAAATAGATGTATGAACATCATTTGATGGTGAAAAGAATTTTGTGTGTGTGTGTGTGTGTGTGTGTGTGTGTGTGTGTGTGTGTGTGTGTGTGTGTGTGTGTAGTAAAGTAAAAAGGTAAAAC